TGATCAGTGGGAAGAATGTCCCTTACATTGGTGATCAGTGGGAAGAATGTCCCTTACATTTGTGGTCAGTGGGAAGAATGTCCCTTACATTGGGGGTCAGTGGGAAGAATGCCCCTTACATTGGTGATCAGTGGGAAGAATGTCCCTTACATTGGGGGTCAGTGGGAAGAATGCCCCTTACATTGGTGATCAGTGGGAAGAATGTCCCTTACATTGGTGATCAGTGGGAAGAATGTCTCTTACATTGGAGGTCAGTGGGAAGAATGTCCCTTACATTGGGGGTCAGTGGGAAGAATGTCCCTTACATTGGGGGTCAGTGGGAAGAATGTCCCTTACATTGGTGATCAGTGGGAAGAATGTCCCTTACATTGGGGGTCAGTGGGAAGAATGCCCCTTACATTGGGGATCAGTGAGAAGAATGTCCCTTACATTGGTGATCAGTGGGAAGAATGTCCCTTACATTGGTGGTCAGTGGGAAGAATGTCCCTTACATTGGTGGTCAGTGGGAAGAATGTCCCTTACATTGGTGATCAGTGAGAAGAATGTCCCTTACATTGGTGATCAGTGGGAAGAATGTCCCTTACATTGGTGGTCAGTGGGAAGAATGTCCCTTACATTGGGGGTCAGTGGAAAGAATGTCCCTTACATTGGGGGTCAGTGGAAAGAATGTCCCTTACATTGGAGGTCAGTGGGAAGAATGCACCCTTAAACTGGTGGTCAGTTAGAGGAAAAATGCCCTTAACATTGGTGGTCAGTGAGATGAGGAATGCTCTTTACATTGGTAGTCAATGGGATTCATAGAGTACTGCTATAGCTATGAACGACCCCCGACCCCAACAGGCAGTTGTACAGTAGAATAAGTGAGCGATTCCTAAGCCCACTGCCACGTGGCCATCCTGAGGATGAGAAGTGGGATAGAAGTTGAGAACGAACCCCATCCTAATAGAGCCAATGTCTGAGCCCACCTGGGTGATTAACAAGCGTGAAGTCATGTGACCCGCTTCCCAGCTATGGCTTGTTAGTCCTCAGCATGCGTGAAATGAAGAAATACATATTAAATTATGGAAATGTGATTGTACCTGACCTGCGGGAGCTGAGAGTATAAACTGTAATATTTTCTCCATCTGCGGAGTATAAGTGGAAGGGGGGTGAGAGAGGAATTCACAGAGATGGTGGGGGTCAGAGGCAGGACACAGAGAATTATGGGGGATGATTACAGACAATGGCGCATTCGCTGCAGGAAAGTCACACAGGAAGATCTCCAACAAGCCATTTATCATCGTGTTCTAGATTGTATCACCCTCCGTACACCAACATCTCTCCATTCACCTGCTGCTGTTGCTAATGCCAACTGGGCTTTTTCTTTGAAAATAAAAAAAGCTAAATATCTACATATTTCTATTTGAATATATTTGAATATTCCCTCCGTACACCAACATCTCTATTTGAATATATTTACAAGGAACCGATCATATTCCCATTTACAGAACGCAGAGAGAGAGACGACCTCATGGCTCTGTAACTACTCTATACCTGTTCAATCTCAGATAAATGTATATATACTGAACGTATTTCATTCCTATATTCAGGTGTCTACCTGGATTTCAGCTTTAACCTGACCCTTAACTCATCCTTAGGCCCCATGTACACGGGACACTTCTGAACCATGGAAACTGACTGCTGGAAAACGTGGGTTAAAAAACATCTGTTTAGCCACGTTTGCATACCGTGTTTATGTGCGTTTGCGTTTAAAAGCGTTTTTTAAAGATAAGCACAGGAGAGCCTCCCAAATGCCCAGAATGCACTGAAAAGTGGTAAATTATTACCTATTTCAGACGGTTTCAGAGAAATACAGAGAGTAGAAGCAGAGACAGCAGTATGTGTTGAAATTAGCTTAGGTGTGAGTTGCTCATTAACATTTCTTTTGTTTCCAAGGGTGGGAAAGGTGTCTGGTGGAGGGAGTCATTAAGGTCACCTGGCAGGGGGTCTTCATGAGGAATTTGAGGTGTGAATGGTCATTAACATATCTTTTGTTTCCAAGGTGGGAGAGGTCTGAGGTGTGAATGGTCATTAACATATCTTTTGTTTCCAAGGTGGGAGAGGTCTGAGGTGTGAATGGTCATTAACATAGCTTTTGTTTCCAAGGTGGGAGAGGTCTGAGGTGTGAATAGTCATTAGCATATCTTTTGTTTCCAAGGATGGGAGAGGTCTGAGGTGTGAATTGGTCATTAACATATCTTTTGTTTCCAAGGGTGGGAGAAGTCTGAGGTGTGAATTGGTCATTAACATATCTTTTGTTTCCAAGGGTGGGAGAGGTCTGAGGTGTGAATGGTCATTAACATATCTTTTGTTTCCAGGGTGGGAGAGGTCTGAGGTGTGAATCGGTCATTACCATATCTTTTGTTTCCAAGGGTGGGAGAGGTCTGAGGTGTGAATTGGTCATTACCATATCTTTTGTTTCCAAGGGAGGGAGAGGTCTGAGGTGTGAATGATCATTCTAACATATCTTTTGTTTCCAAGGGTGGGAGAGGTCTGACGTGTGAACGGTCATTAACATATCTTTTGTTTCCAAGGGTGGGAGAGGTCTGAGGTGTGAATGGTCATTAACATATCTTTTGTTTCCAAGGGTGGGAGAGGTCTGAGGTGTGAACGGTCATTAACATATCTTTTGTTTCCAAGGGTGGGAGAGGTCTGAGGTGTGAATGGTCATTAACATATCTTTTGTTTCCAAGGGTGGGAGAGGTCTGAGGTGTGAACGGTCATTAACATATCTTTTGTTTCCAAGGGTAGGAGAGGTCTGAGGTGTGAATGGTCATTAACATATCTTTTGTTTCCAAGGGTGGGAGAGGTCTGAGGTGTGAACGGTCATTAACATATCTTTTGTTTCCAAGGGTAGGAGAGGTCTGAGGTGTAAATGGTCATTAACATATCTTTTGTTTCCAAGGGTGGGAGAGAGGTCTGAGGTGTGAATTGGTCATTAACATATCTTTTGTTTCCAAGGGTGGGAGAGGTCTGAAGTCTGAATTGGTCATTAACATATATTTTGTTTCCAAGGGTGGGAGAGGTCTGAGGTCTGAATTGGTCATTAACATATCTTTTGTTTCCAAGGGTGGGAGAGGTCTGAGGTGTGAATGGTCATTAACATATCTTTTGTTTCCAAGGGTGGGAGAGGTCTGAGGTGTGAATTGGTCATTACAATGTGTGACAAGCTTGGTAGGAACATCCTGTGTTCAGTGTTTTGTCCATCTGAGTACCTTGAAAACGCTTTGCATGCATTTTTCATGATGAAAAAAGGCTCCGGACAGCATCGGGAACTGGAGGAGTTAAAAAAAAATTCAAACGCAAACGCTTATAAACGCGATTTGCTGCATTTACAAGCGTTTCGTGTTTGAAATGCTGATAAAATTGACTGCTGAACGCATGTTTTTTTTGCGTTTAAAAAAAAGACTGTAAACTCAAATGTCTGGAAATTACTGTAAACGATGATGTGTACATGGACACATAGGAGAACATTAGGGAGAGTTCAGGGGCTGCTGTAAAAAAACGCTGAACAGCTCCTGAACATGAGTTTATCAGCTGCAGTGTACATGGGCCCTTAAACCCAGGGCAGGCAGGATCTGGGGGTGCAGTAAAAAGTAAAATGATCAGCCTTACAACCTGAGAAACACTATTATGTATTAGTTTGTCATTAGTAAGGTGATTAAACAAAACCTGTGCCCCTTATATCAAATTACCTGGTCAGAGTCACCCTTTACATCGGGAGTCCTCATCAGAGTCCTTCTTTACATCATGACTACTCGTCAGTATCCCCCTTTACATCAGGTTCCCATTAGACTACCCCTTACATCACGTGTCGCAGTCAGAGTGCCCTCTTACATCACGTGTCCCAATCAGAGTGCCCCCTTACATCACGTGTCCCAATCAGAGTGCCCCCTTACATCACGTGTCCCAATCAGAGTGCCTTCTTACATCACATGTCCCAATCAGAGTGCCCCCTTACATCACGTGTCCCAATCAGAGTGCCCCCTTACATCACGTGTCCCAGTCAGAGTGCCCCCTTACATCATGTGCCCCCATTAGAGTGCCCCCTTACATCACGTGTCCCAATCAGAGTGCCCCCTTACATCACGTGTCCCAATCAGAGTGCCTTCTTACATCACATGTCCCAATCAGAGTGCCCCCTTACATCACGTGTCCCAATCAGAGTGCCCCCTTACATCACGTGTCCCAGTCAGAGTGCCCCCTTACGTCATGTGCCCCCATTAGAGTGCCCCCTTACATCAGGTGTCCCAGTCAGAGTGCCCCCTTACATCATGTGCCCCCATTAGAGTGCTCCCTTACATCAGGTTTACATTAGAGTGCCCCCTTACATCATGTGCCCCCATTAGAGTGCCCCTTACATCACGTGTCCCAATCAGAGTACACCCCTACATCAGGTGTCCCCATTAGAGTGCCCCCTTACATCAGAGTCCCCATCCAAGTGCCCCATTACATAAGTATCCCAAATAGAGCCCCCCCCCCACCTTACATCAATTGCCCTCATTAGTGTCCCCTTACATATGATCAGTTATCCACATCAGAATGCCCCCTTACACCAGGTGTCCCCATCAGAGTTCCCCCTTATATCAGGTGTCCTCATAAGAATACCCCTGTCTGCATGAGACTGGCTCATGGATCTGTGGATGCACTCTCAGAGACTTGGGGGGCACAAGTAAAATCTGGAAAAGGGGCACAGCCCACCCCAGCACCCCCCTAAATCCGGCCCTGCTTAAACCTTACCTGCCCCTAATTTTAACGGTCCCCCCTGAGACATGCACCATCAGGAACACCTGTCCGTGCCTCCTCCCTGCCCACTTCTCACTCCTTCCCAGGTCTTCTTGTTATACTGACCTGCTGTCCCACATGGAAGAAAAATATATTTTAGATGTATTTTAAAAATATTCTTCCCAAATATATTTACATATATTTGAAATAGCCCCTCCAGTCTTGTACAGTTGTACCAGCTCCTCCCCTTTAGTCTTGCACAGGTGTACTGGCTCCTCCCCTTCAGTCTTGCACAGGTGTACCGGCTCCTCCCCTTCAGTCTTCCACAGGTGTCCCGGCTCCTCCCCTTCATTCTTGCACAGATTTACTGGCTCCTCCCCTTTAGTCTTGCACAGTTGTACCAGCTCCTCCCCTTCAGTCTTGCGCAGTTGTACTGGCTCCTCCCCTTTAGTCTTGCACAGTTGTACCAGCTCCTCCCCTTCAGTCTTGCACAGGTGTACCAGCTCCTCGCCTTCATTCTTGCACAGGTGTACCGGCTCCTCCCCTTCAGTCTTCCACAGGTGTACCGGCTCCTCCCCTTCATTCTTGCACAGATGTACTGGCTCCTCCCCTTCAGTCTTGCATGGGTGTACCGGCTCCTCCCCTTCAGTCTTGCACAGGTGTACCGGCTCCTCCCCTTCAGTCTTGCATGGGTGTACCGGCTCCTCCCCTTCAGTCTTGCACAGGTGTACCGGCTCCTCCCCTTCAGTCTTGCACAGGTGTACCGGCTCCTCCCCTTCAGTCTTGCACAGGTGTACCGGCTCCTCTCCTGGACTGAAATGGCTTCCTCTGATTTCACTGCACACTGTAAGCTTCACTAGTATGTTGAAGAGAAGGGAAAGGGAGAACCAGGGAAGGCAAAATTTGAGCAGATTAACCAGTTTGCGACCGCAAGTAGCCGAATGACAGCTGCACTGCGGTCGGCCAGTTCTGGGTGGACGTCATATGACGGCCTCACAGAATGCACTCTCCTGTGCGCCCCCGGCGATCTCCGTGATTACTGTGTCCTACGGATGTGGTAAAAGGCCAATCACAGCAGCCTTTTACCACGTGATCAGCTGTGTCCAATGACACGCTGATCACCAGGACATGCAATTGCCGGTTCCCAGCTGCACTTTCCTCATGCTGTCAGAGCACGAGGAAAGTACGCCGAGAACCGGCAGTTGTCAGAGCGGGGATCGGCACCGATCATCAGGGCACTGATGATGATTGCCCTGATGATCGGTGCCCAGCAGTGCCACCCACCAGTGCTGGCCACAAGTGCCCATCAGTGCTCACCAGTGTCATCCACCAGTGCCCATCAGTGCAGCCCAGCACTGCCGCCCAGCAGTGCCGTCAGTCAGTGGCCAGTAGTGCTGCCAATCAGTGCCAACTATCAGTATCCATCATCAGTGCTGCCTCATTAGTGCTGCCTACCAGTGCCCATCAGTGTTGCCTATTAGTGCCTATCAGTGCCACCTATAAGTGCCCATCAGTGCAGCCTCATCAATGCACATCAGTGAAGGAGAAAAATTACCTGTTTCATTGTTTTTATTATAAAATTTTGCAAACTTTTTTTTTCACATTTTTGTGCTATTTTTTTGTTTATAGCACAAAAAATAAAACACCCAGTGGGGAGTACAGACCACCAAAAGAAAGCTCTATTTGTGAGGAAAAAAACAATAAAAATTTCATATGAGTATAATGTTGCATGACTGCACAATTGTCATTCAAAGTGCGACAGCACTAAAATCTGAAAATTGGCCTGGACAGGAAGAGAGTATAAGTGCCGGTAGGCGAGGGGTTAAACTTCAGCTTTAAGAATGGGGGCCACTTTCCAATGTATTTTATCAGCAGTGCTGCAATGATTGAGACTAACTGGGTGCCTCAGGACCATGCCATCCACGACCCCCGCCATCATTCTGCAAGGTCATGTGACCAGCGACAAGCGGCAATGACTGTCCAGGCTGGAGGAGAGGTGGAAAGTTCTCAGGCTGCAGATAATGCCTCTCCAGTCTATGAGCCTCAGTGCAGAATGGAGCCTTCGGTGTACACGGCTTCTCAGCGGCTGAACAATGACATCCTTGTGAGTAATGAAACCTTCCCTGAGGACAAAGAGGAGATGGCAGCCAAGAGCCCAGCTGACTCCACAACATGACGAATTACAGCGCCAAAATCTCTCCAGTACCGCCACCCAGATACCAGCCAATTCCAGCACTTCACGACGCTCGGAATACCGATACCCCTGGAAATGTCTATCGCTCTCACAGAACCACTTCCATTTAGGAAGAACAAGGCACAACCGCTGAAACAAAAATCTAAGATTTGTACCAATAGCAGCCTTTGCTCCACACAGAAGAAAACTCAGTAAAAAAACAAGACTCGGGAATAACAAAATATATCTTTTACCATATCTTTTGTTCTTGAAGTCCATTGAGGGATGGAGGCTCTGCACCTGTGTAATTAGGCCTTGGTCACAAAAGTAAGACATTATTGTTGGAGACGAGGTCCAGACCTCCTGTAGGCAGCAGCATAACCCACAAGTCCAAGAATTACTGCTTTCCTGTGCCCCTCAAGGTACGTCATGAGAAATATTTTGTTGTAAGTACAAAAATCTTATTTTCTTTATTGTCTATTGAGGGACACAGGGATAATAGGTATTCTTGAACAAAGTAGTCCAACAGAGGGGTGGAAAAAGGTCCTCTTTCCACAAGAGTAGGAGAAGAAATTACAGTGAGGAACAGAAGTATTTGAACACCCTGCAATTTTGCAAGTTCTCCCACTTAGAAATCATGGAGGGTCTGACATTCACATTGTAGGGGATTCCCACTCTGAGAGACAGAATTAAAAAAAAGATTCAGGAAATCCCATTGTATGATTTGTAAAGAATGTATTTGTCTCGCACGGCTGAACAGAAGTATTTGAACACCTGAGAAGCAGCAAGAATTCTGGCTCTTAAAGACCTGTTACTGTCCCTTTAAAAAGTCCACCTCTACTCCACTCATTCATCTAATTTAGTAGCACCTGTCTGAGCTCTTTAAAGACACCTGTCCACCCCACAGTCAGTCAGACGCCAACTACTACCATGGGCAAGACCAAAGAGCTGTCAAAAGACACCAGAGACAAAATTGTGGACCTCCACAAGGCTGGAAAGGGCTATGGGGCAATTGCCAAGCAGCTTGGTGAAAATAGATCAACTGTTGGAGCAATTGTTAGAAAATGGAAGAGGCTAAAGACGACTGTCAGTCTCCCTCGGACTGGGGCTCCATGCAAGATCTCACCTCGTGGGGTATCACTGATGATAAGAAAGGTGAGGAATCAGCCCAGAACTACAAGGGAGGAGCTGGTCAATGACATGAAGAGAGCTGGGACTACAGTATCAAAGGTCACTGTCGGTAGAACACTACGCCGTCATGGTTTCCAATCATGCATTGCACGGAAGGTTCCCCTGCTCAAGTCATCACATGTCCAGGCCCGTCTGAAGGTTGCCAATGACCATCTGGATGATCCAGAGGAGGCATGGGAGAAAGTCATGTGGTCAGAGGAGACCAAAGTAGAACTTTTTGGTCTAAACTTCACTCGTCGTGTTTGGAGGAAAAAGAAGGATGAGTTGCATCCCAAGAACACCATCCCTACTGTGAAGCATGGGGGTGGTAACATCATGTTTTGGGGGGACAGGACGACTGCACTGTATTAAGGAGAGGATGAATGGGGCCATTTATTGTGAGATTTTGAGCAACAACCTCCTTCCCTCAGTCAGAGCATTTAAGATGGGTCGTGGCTGGGTCTTCCAACATGACAACGACCCGAAGCACACAGCCAGGAGAACCAAGGAGTGGCTCCGTAAGAAGCATATCAAGGTTCTGGAGTGGCCTAGCCAGTCTCCAGACATAAATCCAATAGAACATCTTTGGAGGGAGCTGAAACTCCGTGTTGCTCAGCGACAGCCCCGAAACATGACAGATCTAGAGGAGATCGGTGTGGAGGAGTCGGCCAAAATCCCTGTTGCAGTGCAAACCTGGTCAGGAACTACAGGAAACGTCTGACCTCTGTAATTGCAGACAAAGGCTTCTGTACCAAATATTAACACGGATCTTCTCAGGGGTTCAAATACTTCTGTTCAGCCGTGTGAGACAAATACATTCTTTACAAATCATACAAAGGGATTTCCTGAATTTTTTTTTAAATTCTGTCTCTCAGAGTGGGAATGTCCTACAATGTGAATGTCAGACCCTCCATGATGGAGAAGTGGGAGAACTTGCAAAATCGCAGGGGGTTCACATACTTCTGTTCCTCACTGTACATACATAGTGATACACAAAATATAATCTGCAGAATTCTGGTTTCATCATCTCATTAGGCCGATCTACTTTTAACATTTGGATTTTTTGTTCGTGTTTACGAAGATTCTTTGGACATAAACATCCAGGTCATCTTCTGTTTCCGCTCATGCGTGATAGCGCTTGATAGATTTTTTTTCGTACGATCGTCATACCGCCGCATAGAAAATCGGTCGTTCATATGCAAAACGACAACATTTTTCGCTTTTGTTCAACCGGATTTTTTCGTTCACAATATCGTTATCGGTTAAAACATCCTGCTCATCAACGAAGAGAAAATCGTCCGATCAGCGGTTTGGCAAAATTTTCATACGATTTTCTTATCGTGTGTACGGGGCATTAGCCTCTCACCTGATGGATGGACCTTCTGAACTTCGGTCTAATTGCGCTGTTACCCTATTCTCCCTGAGTTAAGGGAATATCCTCCATATATGGGTCTTTTAACCGCCTCCCGCCCGCCCTGTAAGGAAATGACGCGCACAAGGCGATTCTCTCGTTCTGGGAGGACGTCATATAACGTCCTCCCCGCTCTAACCGCGTGTGCACGGCTCCGGAGGCGCACATCGTGGTGATCGGTGGGGCGCGGTGTCCCTCGGACACAGCGGGGTCACCGATTAATGGAAAGAGCCGAAGACTTCGGCTCGGTCATGTGATCATCTGTGTCCAATCACTACTGATTGCATGTAAATAGGGAAATGCCGGTTATCGGCACGCTGACAGAGGAGAGGAGAGCCGGTAATCATCATTCCTCAGAGGGGATATGTACACTGATCATCAGGGCACTGATGATCAGTGTAGCCCCAGCAGTGCCACCTGTTAGTGTCTATCAATGCCATCTAACAGTGAACATCAATGTCACATATCAGTGCCCATCTGAGCTGCCTTTCAGTGTCCCCTATCAGTGCCAGTCAGTGCCACCTATCAGTGCCAGTCAGTGCCACCTATCAATGCCAGTCAGTGCCACCTATCAATGCCAGTCAGTGCCACCTATCAGTGCTGCCAATCAGTGTCACCTATCAGTGCTGCCAATCAGTGTCACCTATCAGTGCCGCCGATCAGTGCCATATATGAGTCCTGCCTTTCAGTGCCCATCAGTGATGCCTGTTAATGCCCATCAGTGCCACCTAGTGGTGTACTTAGGTTTCATGCTGCCCTAGGCAACACAAAAATTGCCCCCCCACCACCACGGAGAGATCCTGACACTGACCAGAACCCCCTCCCCCACGAAGAGAGCCTGACATTGACCAACAACACCCCAGCCCCCACCCGAGACAGCCTTCCACTACCACCGCCCCCCATACACTTGCAACCCCCACCCCGACCCTATGAGAGAGAAGACACTCACCTTTACAGCTCCAGACATCCCCAAGAACAAGAGTCGGGCTCTGCATATTCCATCAAGCAGCCCACAGCCTCTCTGAGATCCCACCTGGTTT